ACAAAAAACAAACAAAACCAAGGAATGGGGCCAGCCGTGGTGCCGAGCGACCGAAAGGCGGCGGGCGAGCCTGGGGCGACCAGCGCAGCCGACGGACAAGCGAAAACAAACAAAAACAAACAAAACCAAGGAATGGGCGATCCGAGGGGCCGAGCGACCGAAAAGCGGCGGGAGAGCCTGGGGCGACCAGCGCAGCCGACGGACAAGCGAAAACAAACAAAAACAAAGAAAACAATTGAATGGGGCCAGCCGGGGGGCCGAGCGACCGAAATGCAGCGGGCGAGCCTGGGGCCACCAATGCAACCGACGGACAAACGAAAACAAACCAACACAAACAACACCACGGAAATAAGCCAGCCGAGGGGCCGAGCGACCGCGGGGCGGCGGGCGAGCCTGAGGCGACCAGTGCAGCCGACGGACAAGCGAAAACAAACAAAAGCAAACAAAACCAAGCATTTGGCCAGCCGAGGGGCAGGGCAGAGCGACCGACAGGCGGCGGGCGAGCCTGAGGCGACCAGTGCAGCCGACGGACAAGCGAAACAAACAAAAAACAAACGAAACCAAAGAATGGGGCCAGCCGGGGTGCCCAGCGACCGAAAGGCGGCGGGCGTGCGCAGGGCGACCAATGCAGCCGACTGACAAGCGAAAACCAACAAAAACAAAAAAAAACAGCGAATCTGGCCAGCCGAGGGGCCTAGCGACCGCGGGGCGGCGGGCGAGCCTGGGGCGACCAGTGCAGCCGACTGACAAACCAAAACAAACAAAAACAAACACAACCAACGAATTGCGCCAGCCGAGGGGCCGAACGACCGCGGGGCGGCGGGCGATCGAAAACAAACAAAAACAAACCAAACCAAACAATGGGGCCAGCCGGGAGGCCGAGCGACCGCGGGGCGGCGGGCGAGCCTGGAGCGACCAGTGCAGCCGACGGACAAGCGAAAACAAACAACAACAAACAAAACCATGGATGGGGCCCGCCGAAGGGCCGAGCTGCCGCGGGGCGGCGGGCGAGCCTGGGGCGACCAGTGCAGCCGACGGACAAGCGAAAACAAACAAAAACACACAGAACCAAACAATTTGGCAAGCCGAGGAGCCGAGCGACCGCGGGGCGGCGGGCGGGCCTGGGGCGACCTGTGCAGCCGACGGGCAAGCGAAAACAAACGAAAACAAGCAAAACCAAATAATTGGGCCAACCTAGGGGCCGAGCGACCGTGGGGCGGCGGGCGAGCCTGGGGCGACTAGTGCAGTCGACGGAGGAGCGAAAACAAACAAAAAACAAACAAAACCAATGAATGGGGCCAGCCGAGGGGCCGAGCGACCGCGGAGCGTCGGGCGAGCCTGGGGCGACCAGTGCAGGCGACGGACAAGCGAAAATAAACGAAACGAACAAACACAAAGAAATCTACCAGCCGAGAGTTCGAGCGACCGCAGGGCGGCGGGCGAGCCTGAGGCGACCAGTGCAGCCGACGGACAAACCAAAACACACAAAACCAAACAAAACCAAATAATTGGGCCAGCCGAGGGGCCGAGCGACCGAAAGGCAGCGGGCGAGCCTGTGGCGACCAGTGCAGCCGACGGACAAACGAAACCAATCAAACACAAACAAAACACAGGAATGAGGCCAGCCGAAAGGCAGAGCGCGACCGCTGGGCGGCGGGCGAGCCTGTGGCGACCATTGCAGCCGACGGGCAAGCGAAAACAAACAAACAACAAACAAAACCAAGGAATGGGGCCAGCCGGGGGGCCGAGCGACCGAAAGGCGGCGGGCGAGCCTGGGGCGACCAATGCAGCCGACGGACAAGCGAACACAAACAAAAACAAACAAAACCAAGGAATGGGGCCAGCCGAAGGGCCGAGCGACCGAAAAGTGGCGGGAGAGCCTGGGGCGACCAGCGCAGCCGACGGAAGAGCGAAAACAAACAAAAGCAAAGAAACCAATTGAATGGGGCCAGCCGGGAGGCAGAGCCACCGAAATGCTGCGGGCGAGCCAGGGGCCACCAGTACAACCGACGGACAAGCGAAAACAAACAAAAACAAACACACCACGGAAATAAGCCAGCCGAAGGGCCGAGCGACCGCGGGGCGGCGGGCGAGCCTGGGGCGACCAGTGCAGGCGACGGACAAGCGAAAACCAACAAAAACAAACAAACCAAGCATTTGACCAGCCGAGGGGCAGGGCAAAGCGACCGAAAGGCGGCGGGCGAGCCTGGGGCGACCAATGCAACCGACGGACAAGCGAAAACAAACAAAAAAACGAAACCAAGGAATGGGGCCAGCCGAGGGGCCGAGCAACCGAAAAGCGGCGGGTGTGCGCAGGGCGACCAGTGCAGCCGACGGACAAGCGAAACCAAACAAAAACAAAAAAAAACAACACATCTGGCCAGCCGAGGGGCCGAGCGACCGCGGGGCGGCGGGCGAGCCTGGGGCGACCAGTGCAGCCGACGGACAAACCAAAACAAACAAAACCAAACAAAACCAAAGAATTGCGCCAGCCGAGGGGCCGAACGACCGCGGGGCGGCGGGCGAGCCTGGGGCGACCAGTGCAACCGACGGACAAACGAAAACAAACAAAAACAAACAAAACCAAATAATGGGGTTAGCCGGGAGGCCGAGCGACCGCGGGGCGGCGGGCGAGCAGCCGACGGACAAGCGAAAACAAACGAAAACAAACAAAACCAAATAATTGGGCCAACCGAGGGGCCGAGCGACCGCTGGGCGGCGGGCGAGCCCGCGGCGACTAGTGCAGCCGACGGACAAGCGAAAACAAACGAAACGAACAAACACAAAGAAATCGACCAGCCGAGAGGCCGAGCGACCGCAGGGCGGCGGGCGAGCCTGGAGCGACCAGTGCAGGCGACGGACAAGCGAAAACAAACAAAAACAAACAAAACCAAAGAACTGGGCCAGCCGCGGGGCCGAGCGACCGAAAGGCGGCGGGCGAGCCTGTGGCGAAAACAAACAAAAAACAATCAAAACCAAGGAATGGGGCCAGCCGAAGGGCCGAGCGACCGAAAGGCGGCGGGCGAGCCTGGGGCGACCAGTGCAGCCGACGGACAAGCGAACACAAACAAAAACAAACAAAACCAAGGAATGGGGCCAGCCGAAAGGCCGAGCGACTGCGGGGCGGCGGGCGAGCCTGAGGCGACCAGTGCAGCCGACGGACAAGCGAAAACAAGCAAAAGCAAACAAAACAAAACAATGAGCCAGCCGAGGGGCCGAGCGACCGAGACGTGACGGGCGAACCTGTGGCAACCAGTACAGCCGACGGACAAGCGAAAACAAACAAAAACAAACAAAACCAAGTAATTGGGCCAGCCGAGTGGCCGAACGACCGCGGGGCGGCGGGCGAGCCTGGGGCGACCAGTGCAGCCGACGGACAAGCGAAAACGAACAAAAACACACAAAACCAAGGACTGGGGCCCGCCGAGGGGCCGAGTGACCGCGGGGCGGCGGGCGAGCCTGAGGTGACCAATGCAGCCGACGGACAAGCGAAAACAAACAAAACCAAGGAATGGGGCAAGCCGAGGGGGCGAGCGACCGCGGGGAGGTGGGCGAGCCTGGGGCGACCAGTGCAGCCGACGGACAAACGGAACAAAAAACAAAAAAAACAAAACCATTGCATGGGGCCAGCCGAGGGGGCGAGCGACCGCGGGGCGGCGGGCGAGCCTGGGGCGACCAGTGCAGCCGACGGACAAGCGGAAAAAAAAACAAAAACAAAACCATTGCATGTGGCCAGCCGAGGGGGCGAGCGACCGCGGGGCGGCTGGCGAGCCTGGGGCGACCAGTGCAGCCGACGGGCAAGCGAAAACAAACAGAAACAAACAAAACCAAGGAATGGGGCCAGGCCGAGCGACCGCGGGGCGGCGGGCGACACTGGGGCGACCAGTGCAGCCGACGTACAAGCGAAAACAAACAAAACAATCAAAACCAAGGAATGGGGCCAGCCGAGGGGCCGAGCGACCAGCGTCGCCCAGGGAAGTGACAACCAAACCCTAGAAGTAGATTAGGTTTGCGCCCGCCCCCCCAAAAAAACAAACATATATATTCTTGACATAGGAAGGCGCTAAAAGTAGATTTGGGATCTGGGAATCCAAAAATACCTACTTTCAACGACTGGTGGGTATGTCGGTGTCTATATATGATCCAGGGCTCCGGACCCACGGCCCCCAAGATGGAATGGGTCTCAGGGTCCTCGGCCTCCCCCCCCAAATGGTACGGGGGGACGACGGCGACGAAGACGACGACGAAAACACCGTCCGCTCCGGTCCCCTGACGCACCGCAACACCGTCGGAACAGGCCAGCCCAAACTGAGTACGACTGTTATAGACGATTACAGATTGGCACCTCCCTTTTGCCAAGTGTAGCAGTTGCACGTCATGCCTAAGACGGCGATGCATGTGCCGATGCCGATGCCGACGCTGATGTCGTCGTCGCCCTCCTCCTCCTCCTCCTGATATTCCATCTCCTCCTCCTCCTCCTCCTCCTCCTCCTCTTTAGGAATGCCCGACCACCACCACCACCACCACCACTTCCACCACCAGCACCAGCACCAGCACCAGCACCACGACCACGACCAGGACCAGGACCAGGTCCAGGACCAGGACCAGGACCCGCCGCCGCCGCCGCCGCCGCTGCCGCCCCCCCTCCCACCCACCCACCCACCCACCCACCCACCCACCCCACACCCACAAGGTTGGGGGGAGGGCCGGACCCCATACCCACCACCAAGCACCCACAGGGGACGACTCCACGACACCACGCCCACAGGATTGGGGGGCCCATCGCGCGGGGGGGGGTTCGGCACGGCATCGCCGATAGATTGGCGATAGGCACCCGGTAGCGCATCCTCACGTTCCTGGGCGGGGCGGGCCATCGGGCTCCAATCCGCGCTCGGTGGGCGATTGGGAGCGGATGTAACTTCACCTGAACTTATCCCTGCCCAGCGCTGCCCCCGAGATGCCGCAGTCTCTGTGGCCCCCGGTTCCCGGCCCAAGGATGCGCCGTCCGCCATTCGCTGGCCGCGCGCGAGCTACGCCCGGCGCGGCGGCGGTGGACGTCGGCCTGGGCCCAGCCATCTACGCTGGGGCTCGAGCGGGAGGGCGGAGGACACGGAGCGGCCCAGGACGAGGCGTGGAGTGAACCCCGCCTGCCGCTTGGGGGGTGAGTTCGCGCCGCCTCGGCCCGACTCTCAGGCTCCTGTGCCGCTTCTCCTCGCCTCACGGATGGGGCAAGAGGGAGTGGAGGGATGGGGGGGGGGGCGAGAGGAGGGGCAGCAGGAGCAGGAGGGAGGAGAGTACAGCGCCCTGCCCCACCGATACTCCGTCCCATGCCTTTCCCCCCAGGAGGGAAGGGAGGACGAGGAGCAGGAGGAAGGAAGTTGAAGAGGTGGAGCTAGAGCCCAAGGAAGCGGAATCGAATCCTGAATCGGGCAATGGGGCCGACAAGAAACGCTTTCCAAGGTGTGCCCGAAGTTGCCTTCCAGCACAATGCCGAACAAATCTACCAATCGTCCTGTCCCTGAGCTCCTAGTCATCCCTCTTCTCCTCATTCGCCTCCTCAGATTCCATCCGGATACAACGAGGATACGGAAGGATGGCGGGTCGTGCTCAAGACGATGATCTCGCCTAATCGCTGGCCTCACTCGTCTTAAACGCTTTCAATCGTTCCACGGGTGGGGGACATGACGTTTTCAAAGATAACTTTCGCACCAGCGAAGCGCATAGTTGTCACAACATTTGGACCACCTGCACTGGTGGATGGCGAGGCGCTTCAAAATGTGGCAATCGCCCCAGCGATCCGAATACATGTCATGCATGTTTTTTCAGTTACACACGTGGAGGACGCTTCCCTTTTCATACTGGGATCCACGCGTAAGACTTCGTCAACTCAGTTGACGAATTCTCGCGCAATTGACTCCACTGTGTTCACGCAAGCAGAAGTGTGCAACAACTGCACGGAAGGAGGACGGTGTCCTTTCAACATTGAACTGTCCTTGATATCCACCACGAATGTCAACGACCCCACAACAAACAAATGCGCAACCGTTCCACGAATAGTGGGCATTCGTTTCGCAGCGAAGCCATGGCCTCACACTTTACGCATTGCCTAGGCACTTGTCAGAGCTGCAAACATGGAGGGTGCTTCCTGAACGACAAGGCCATTAGGCGTCCGTGTCAAGCGGGCGCTCTCCGCAATGAACAGGAATACTTCAGGACTACGAGGAAAAGACTTGCGACGGGATGGTGCACAACATCGATTATGTATCCCGGCTTTACTCTGGTCCTCCTCCTGCTCTTCCCTATCCTTCTCCTCCTCCTCCTCCTCCTCCTCCTCCTCCTCCTCCTCCTCCTCCTCCTCCTCCTCCCCCTCTGCCCGACCCAACGACCCTTCGGTCCAGTCATCGCCCCTATCGAGTCTGGAGCCCGGGAGAGTGCCTCAGGCGCGGGGTCGCACGCGACGCGCCCCGCGGCAGCAGATGTTCGCCGCAAAGCGAGTGCGGTCTTCAGGCACGGCTTGTGACGCCGAAGCTGAGAGATCACGTCCCTACGTAGTGATACACATCTTTGCATTGACCCTACTGCCCCCCAGGCCGCCACCTATGGCAGGGCATGGCGTGGTAGGCATTCGGCGCGTGCTTGCCGACCTCACTCAATTTAAAGATCGTCATCCTTGGCGATGCACCACGTAAATACACACACGTGCTCACATGTTGCCAGACAAACCAACGTGGGGGCCAGGCGTCCCAGTGAACCAGGCTGCTTTCTTCGCCCGGACTCGATATCTCGATATCGGGGGACGCGGCCGGGCGGGGATTCGATCTCCATCTCTCGATATCGGGGGGAGGGGCCAGGCGGGGACTCGATATCTCGATATCGGGGGCGGGGCCGGGCGGGGACTCGATATCTCGATATCTCGATATTGGGGGGCGGCGGCGGGGTCGGACTCGATATCTCGATATTTCGATATCAGGGGCGGGCTCTGGACACCTCGACATCCACAGGGCTGTAGCCGACGAACCCGACGGGGTCGACGGCTCTCAGCGGCCTGACATACTGAGGAGGAGCTCTGGAGAGACCGTGAAAGACCCAAGACGGCCCGAAACCCTCTCCAGGACGGCCTGGGACCCCGCAGCCAGCCCCCAAACCCAATCATCTGCGCCAAGATGCTCATTGGCGCAAATGCGCTGGTTCGACGGCTCTCGGCGGCCAAGCATTATGAGGAAGAGCCCGTGAAGGTCCCAAGACGGCCCGAAGCCCACTCCAAGACGGCCCCGGACCCCGCAACCTGCCCCAAAACCCAATGTGCGCCAAGATGCTCATTGGCGCAACTGCGCGGGCTCGACGGCTGTCGTCGGCAAGGCATCATGAGGAGGACCTCTGGCGAGACCATGGACAATCCAAGACGGCCCGAAGCCGACCATGGAGAATCCAAGATGGCCCGACACGCACTCCAAGACGACCCGGCACACCGCGACCTGCCCCAGAAGTCAAGGCGCGCCAAGATGTTCATTGGCGCAACTGCGCGGGCTCGACGGCTGTCGGCGGCCTGGCATCATGAGAAGGACCTCTGGAGAGGCCATGGAGAATCCAAGACGGCCCGATGCCCACTCCAAGACGGCTCTTGACCCACTCCAAAACCTGCCCCAGAACCCAAGTTGCGCCAAGATGTTCATTGGCGCAACGGCGCGGGCTCGGCGGCTGTCGTTGGCCTGGCATCATGAAGAGGACCTCTGGAGAGGCCACGGAAAATCCGAGACGGCCCGAAGCCCACTCCAAGACGGCCCAGGACCCCAAAACCTGCCCCAGAACCTAATTAAGGTGCGGCAAGATGTTCATTGGCGCAACGGCGTGGGCCCGACGGCCGTCGGCGGCCTGGCATCATGAGGAGGACCTCTTGAGAGGCCATGGACAATCCAAGACGGCCCGAAGCCCACTCCAAGACGGCCATGGACTCCAAAACCCGCCCCAGAACCCAAGGTGCGCCAAGATGTTCATTGGCGCAACGGCGCGGGCTCGACGGCTGTCGGCGGCCTGGCATCATGTGGAGGACCTCTGGAGAGGCCATGGACAATCCAAGACGGCCCGAAGCCCACTCCAAGACGACCCCTGACCCCTCAGCCTGCCCCAGAACCCAAGGTGCGCCAAGATGTTCATTGGCGCAACGGCGTGGGCTCGACGGCTGTCGGCGGCCTGGCATCATGGGGAGGACCTCTGGAAACGAGAGGCCATGGACAATCCGAGACGGCCCGACACCCACTCCAAGACGGCCCCAGACCCCGCAACCTGCCCCAGAACCCGAGGTGCACCAAGATGTTCATTGGCGCAACGGCGCGGGCTCGACGGTTGTCGGCGGCTTGGCATCATGGGGAGGACCTCTGGGGAGGTCATGGAGAATCCAAGACGGCCTGAAGCACACTCCAAGACGGCCCAGGACCCCGCAACCTGCTCCAGAATCAAAGGTGCGCCAAGATGTTCATTGGCGCAACGGCGCGGGCTCGACGGTTGTCGGCGGCCTGGCATCATGAGGAGGACCTCTGGAGAGGCCATGGACAATCCAAGACGGCCTGAAGCCCACTAATTAGAAGACGGCCTGGGACTTCACAACCTTTCCCAGAACCCGAGGTGCACCAAGATGTTCATTGGCGCAACGGCGCGGGCTCGACGGCTGTCGGCGGCCAGGCATCATGAGGAGGACCTCTGGAGAGGCCATGGACAATCCAAAACGGCCCGAAGCCCACTCCAAGACGGCCCTGGACCCTGCAACCTGCCCCAGAACCCAAGGAAGGTGCGCCAAGATGTTCATTGGCGCAACGGCGCGGGCTCGACGGCTGTCGGCGGCCTGTGGAGAGGCCATGGACAATCCAAGACGGCCCGAAGCCCACTCCAAGTGAAGAGGACCCCCAGAGAGGCCATGGACAATTCAAGACAGCCCGAAGCCCACTCCAAGACGGCCTGGCTGGGACCCCGCAACCTTCCCCAGAACCCAAGGTGCGCCAAGATGTTCATTGGCGCAGCGGCGCGGGCTTGACGGCTGTCGGCGGCCTGGCATCATGAGGAGGAGCTTGACCGTGTGCGCGCCGAGACGCTCCAAGACGGCCCACGACCGTGTGCGCGCTGAGAGGTGAATGCTAATCGTGCTGCTGCTGCTGCTCCGTGCTGGCCATTCTGCCTCGAAGCCCCCCCCGATATCAAGACATCGAGATATCGAGTCCCCGCCCGGCGCCGCCCCCGATATTGGAATATCGAGAGATTGAGATATCGAGTCCTCGGCTGCCCCTCCCCCGATATCGGAATATCGAGATATCGAGATACAACCCTATCGAGTCCTGGCCCGGCCCCGCCCGCGGTATCGATCGAGCTTTCGAACTATCGAGATATCGAGTCCCCGCCCAGCTCCGCCCCCGATGTCGAGACATCGAGACATCGAGATATCCTCTCGACACCCACCGGGACGCCTTGCTACCACAATGAGAAAGACTACGTCTTCTTAGCACTCGGGGGGTACTAAACGATGTGGCACGCAAGAAGGATAAAAATGATGACGAGCCTCATCCTCCTTCTCCTTCTGCCTCCTATTCCACCTCCCAACCCCCCTCCCCTTCGGGATGGGAGCGAGGGGTAGGATGTTAGATATTGCGCGAGCGCACATAGCTTGCCCATGTCCTCTCTCCTCCTTCCTCCCTGCTCCTTCTTCTCCTCTTTCTCCTCTGTCATTATAATTCTCTCCTCCTCCATCTGCCTCCTCCTTCTTTTCCCTCCGTGCCCTCTTCCCTCCCCGCCTCCCTCCCCCGTCTCAGGCGGACCTGGTGCGTCTTTCGAGATTCTGGCCGAACATCGCCACATAGCTTTTCCAGGATTTGGGATTTGGACGCCGCTAACACATGGTGGCCGCATTGCAAAATAAACATCTCAGTCTCCTCTGTTTCCTCCTCGTTCTCTCTCCTCGACGTCCTCCTCCTCCTCCTCCTCCTCCTCCCTCCTCCTCCTTAATAGCAACGCTCCGCAGCCGGTTTGCATTTGTTGCTGAGCTGGCCGTGGCGAACCGCCCTAGCGGCGTCTATTTTTTGTGTTGTTTTCATGTTTTTTCTTTTTATCCCCCCCCGCACAGGCGACGTTGACACCTCGGTATGTGAGCACTGCAGATCACCGCAGCAAGACTGTGCCTCCACGTGCCATTGGCAAGCGAAGAAAACAACACTCAGGAAGGAGCAGAAACGGAGGAAGGGGCCAGGAGCCAGCGGAGACAGGGGAGAAAAGAACAAAACCACGCCTCAAGTCGAGGATCGGCCGGTACATCCAAAATGTCACATTGCCAGCTGCAACGTGACCAAATAATGGCTGCGGCGGCACCTGTGGATTACCCCCTACAGGGTCAGCGCCAAAGCAACTACAAGAGAGGCACGCAAAACGAATGAGCAGCTAGACGAACAAAAACAACATCTGGCGGCACCGTTGCCGGGTGGACGCCGGCGTGTCGCACCAAGCGCGGGAGGGGAGCAAGAGAAGGAAAGGGACGAGAAAGACAGCAATAAAGACGGAGAGCAAGTGTTGGGTGCACGCGCACACTCGCCAACCTCACAAGTAGAGCAAATCATCTTAAATAGAAGGTACACCGCACGCGGAGCGGAAGAGAAGGCGGCGAGGGAGGCAAGCCCAGGAACTGCGCCCAGGGTCACCCGCCGGCGACCTCCACGTGGCCACACGCACGGCGCGTGCAGACGGCGGGCCCCAGCCACACCAATTGGGAGGAGGATTATTCCGGCAAAGCAACCAAACAGCGATGTGTAGGAGCATATCTGGAAGCATTCCCCTTAAGATTCAAATGAGAACCAGTTGTAGAATTCTGCTGTTCTCGCAGTCGTAGTCGCATTCGCGATGACAGTCGCAGTGGCAACGGCAGTCGCAGTCACAGCCTCAGCCTGCCTCAGCCTCAGCCTCAGCCTGCCTCAGCCTCAGGCAGCCTCAGCCTCAGTCACAGCCTCAGCCTCAGCCTCAGCCTCAGCCTCAGCCTGCCTCAGCCTCAGCCTCACCCTGCTTCAGCCTCAACATCAGTCTGCCTTCAGCCTCGGCCTCAGCCTCAGCCTGCCTCAGCCTCACCCTGCATCAGCCTCAGCCTCAGCCTCAGCCTGCCTCAGCCTTAGCCTGCCTCAGCCTCAGCCTGCTTCAGCCTCGGCCTCAGCCTCAGTCTGCCGTCGGCCTCGGCCTCAGCCTGCCTCAGCCTCAGCCTCAGCCTGCCTCAGCCTCAGCCTCAGCCTGCCTCAGCCTCAGTCTGCCTGCAGCCTCGGCATCAGCCTCAGCCTGCCTCAGCATCAGCCTGCCTCAGCCTCAGCCTGAGCCTCCGCCTGCCTCAGCCTCAGCCTCAGCCTGAGCCTGAGCCTGAGCCTCAGCCTGCCTCAGCCTCAGCCTCAGCTTGCTTCAGCCTCAGCCTCAGTCTGCCTTCAGCCCCGGCCTCAGCCTCAGCCTGCCGCAGCCTCAGCCTGCATCAGCCTCAGCCTCAGCCTCAGCCTCAGCATCAGCCTGCCTCAGCCTCAGCCTCAGCCTCTGCCTCAGCCTCAGCCTGCTTCAGCCTCAGCATCAGTCTGCCTTCAGCCTCGGCCTCAGCCGCCGCCTGCCTCTGCCTCAGCCTGCATGAGCCTCAGCCTCAGCCTTAGCCCTCAGCATTCGCCTGCCTCAGCCTCAGCCTCAGCCTGCCTCAGCCTGCTTCAGCCTCAACATCAGTCTGCCTTCAGCCTCGGCCTCAGCCTCAGCCTGCCTCAGCCTCACCCTGCATCAGCCTCAGCCTCAGCCTGCCTCAGCATCAGCCTGCCTCAGCCGCCTGCCTCTGCCTCAGCCTCAGCCTGCTTCAGCCTCAGCCTCAATCTGCCTTCAGCCTCGGCCTCAGCCTCAGCCTGCATCAGCCTCAGCCTCCGCCTCCGCCTGCCTCAGCATAAGCCTGCCTCAGCCTCAGCCTCAGCCTGCCTCAGCCTCAGCCTCAGCCTGCTTCAGCCTCAGCCTCACTGCGCGAGTACGAAACTCGCGGGAGTGATCGCAGATGGGAGGGAAAGACTGGGGGCGCTCTATTCCTCCACGCTCGGATGCTTGAGCCAAGACGGTCGCGGGACCGGTTTCGCCGTTACGCCGCAACCGCCGCTACACCCTGCACAACATGCTATGCACAGACTTGCATCATGCTTCAGTCTACTACTATTCTAAGCTATGTAGTTCACCACGCCTCCTCCGGGCGCGGCGCGATACAGTCGCCGAGCGCTGCTTGCTCTGACTACACTAGCCTGAATCCCGGGCGCGGGGTGCCTTCCGTCAGCCCAGGCCGCGGCCTCACAGGCCTCATCGGCTGGAGCGGCGGCGTGCCGCCTCCGCCGGCTCACCACGCCCTCGGGTGCAGGACCTCCGAAGGCCCATCCATCGCACCGCGATGGGGTCTCCTGCAGCCACATGTCTGGGCTGCGTCCCGGTCGCCTCCTCGAGGCTCATCCGCCGTCGCGGCCTGGGGCCGCAGACGCGGGTGCTGTCGCGGGGCTCCCGCTGACCAGCGACCCAAGCGCGGGGCTAACCGCAGCCTGGGTAACAGCCACTTCAGCCATGACTGTGTTCAGGCACGTAAGGTTCACGATGCCACGTGTCGTCGCTTATTGCTCCTATGCTCGTCCTCCGCCTCCTCCTCGTCGCGACGCCGCAGGCGGCCGCGGGCTTCCACCTGCTCCTGGACCTCGCGCGGTCGGCGCGCCCAGTCCCAGAGGCGCACCAGCCCCCAGGTCAGAAGAGCGACGAGCATGTAATTGAGGAGTTTGGAGTCCTCGCGCTGCGGCTTCACCGCACACGTCAGCTCCTCCTGCGCCTCCTGGGCGGCCTGCGTTGCAGGGGCCGCTCCCAGGGCCACCAATACCGCCAGGAACCGGCGGCAGGTAGGCTTTGCGAGGGGGAGCAGTTTCATGAGCTCTTGGTGCCTCTTCGGCTCCAATGCCTTCGTCCCCAGGTCGGCGATGTTGGTCTCGCTGGGGACCTTCTTCAAGATGATCTGCTTCTCCCGGACGGCGTCCTGAACCCATAGCCATCGCGTCGCGATATGGCGGGTCTTCCCCACGCCGCTCCTCGAGCTGATGCCGATGGCGGCGCTGGCATCGCTGCCCACGGTCACCGACCATGCCGCTCTGGCACCGCGCAGATCCGTGATTTCCTTGACGAGGCTCTGGGTCATGATGCCCCTCGCCGCGCCGTCTACGATGCCGTACAGCTCGGCCTCCGCGCTGGAGAGGGCGCGGACCTGGTCCGTCACGACCCAGGACTCGATCAAATGCGAACCCATAAACTCGCAACCCGCGTGGGTCGAGTACTGGTCTGGCTCCTCGGCCCAGTTGCTGTCGACCGGGATCCAAGAGCCATCTGCCTCCGGCTCGTGCTTGAAGACGAGCGCCAAGAACGGGCAGCCTGCGAGGTACCGCGCGCAGCGGTCCAGCCTTGCATTGCCTAGCCGGCGAGGCGTGGACATCTGCTCGCCCAAGTCCTTGGCCGAGTACTGGATGTCGAAGCGCCCGGACGACACGTACAGCACGCGACCGGTGTCGCTACGATATTTGGTCTGCGCCTCGCCGTCGAGCTCGTCGAGGATCGCCGGATCGTCCCTGCCGATGTGCTTGCTGCATGGGCTCCCTTGGGGCTTCGCTTTGAGCTTGCCCGTGCTCTCCAACAACATCAGCAAGTGCTTTGGGCCCTCGTTCCACTCGTAACCGAACCCCGGCACGTAGCAGATGTAGCGCTTGAGGTAACGGCCCATTAGGCTGCAACCAGGTCCAACGCGAGGGAGGACCTTGATGTTGCACAGCCGGCTGATCATGGCGTCAAGGTGGTCGATGCCCTCGCTCTCCGCCTCGGCTAGGATTTCGTCGCCCCACAAGCCGGCCAAAGAGTCGCACTGCCTCGAATAGAAGATCTGGCGGCTGGTTTTCAAAACCTTGTAGCCGCACTGGTCGAATACCTTCACCATAAACTCGAGGAACAGCTGAGACGCACGGCGCGCGCCATACATCGCCTTCAGCATCTGCCACGCCATCCCTGGGACCTCCTCGCCCCTAGGCGGGATCACCGTGATCGGCTCGTCCAGCGGCAAGTCGGCGTGCCAGAATGCTGTGACGATGTCGTAGAGCCCCAGCACCCTGGTCCAGTCGTTGGAGACAGGGCGTCTTATTGAGGCAGCTCGTGAGACGATCAACTTGATGAACTTCAGTGGGGGCGTCGCCGTGTACGTGTCCAGCCGGTCGTACATGTTGAACTCCATGGCCACACACCTCGACCGGACGGTGGTCTCACCGTCCTGCGCGCGCTTCTCGTCGAGCCACATGCTGCGCACCTTCTTACCCTTAGCGTCCTTCATCGGCACGCGGTCGTAGAGGCACTCAGCATGTTCTGACGCTCCCGTGCGCGGCCCGCGCGCGCGAGCTCGGGGTCGAGCACCTCGCCGGTCTTGTGGTCCTCGACGTCCTGCGCGCCGATGTCTGGCGTCGCCACGTAGGCCACCGGCGTCGCATTGCTCCTGGCATGTATCCGCAAGGGGCGGCTGGCCGCACGCATGCAGAGCGCCGATCACGCGCCTCCTCGAGGATGCGGGCCCGCCTGCGTCGGCACCACCACCCTCGAAGAGCTCGACCTTCTCCTGGAAGCTCAGGTCCTCCCGCTCGCGCTTCGTCGCGATGCTCGCTGCCTCCATCTCCGCCTCAACGGCGGGGTCAGGGGCCTCCGGAGCCGGCGCTGGTGGAGCGGCAGGGGCCGCATCCTCCGGCGGAGCTGCCATCTCGACGTCGGGGGCGGCTCTGGCAGGTGCGGGGGGCCCTGGAGGGGCTGCGAGCTGGGGCCCGGATACCGCCGGCTGCGGTGCCTCTGCGGGGGGCGCCGGCGCTGCGGCACTACTGCTCGCTAGTGCCTCATCCTCCTTCCCCCAGATCGCCAGGAAACGGGCCTTGCAGGCGTCGCTGTGTCCCGTCGTGCGCCCCAGGCAGCCGGGGCGCTCGGGGGCGAGGCCGTACTTGTCGAGGTAAGCCTTCGCGATGTACCGCTTCGGTCGGGCTGCCGGGGTCTGGGCGCCCAGGCGCGGAAGCCGCGGGGTGCAGAGCACCTTATCGAGCATCTTCTTGTTCCACCGCTTGCCCTGGGCCTTGCGGCGGACAGACCTGGCCAGGCGCGCCTCGTTGCCCAGCACGATGATGTGCTCGTCGGTCTTCCAGCTCTTGCCCAACCAGATGCACGTGGCCCAGCGCTCGTCCAAGGACGAGAGACGGGAGGCATCGGGAGCCCGGTACCACAGGCACTCCCCGAAGAGGGCAATTTTGCCGTTGCATGGCCGGCCCTTCAACCTCTCGTAGCCCGTCCGGCCGTCCGCGCGCACGCGGCACATGCATATGCACCAGCCGCAGTGCCGCACAAGCCAGGGCACCAGCGGGTGACCAGCGCGCAGCTCGACCTTCGCCACGTGCCTCAGGTACAAGACGATCGTCCTCATCAAGTTCTTCACCTTCTTGTTCATGTTCTCGACGGCGCCCATGGACTCAGGCGAGTACCGGGGCTTAATCTCCAAAACTGTGGGATCCGCACGCCCGGTGCGGATCGCCTCCGCCAGGGCCTTGATGGCGGGCTCGCCGTCGACCCTCAAAACGATGGCCTTCCTGCTCCAGTGCCCGAGGTACTCAATGACGCTGCGGATCGCGTACTCCATAGGTCCTTTCTCGTCCACCACCAGCGCCAACACCATCCCGAGCTCCTGGTCGTATACGGTCAGGACCGTCATCATGTCGAACGGGGGGTCGGTCACGAACGTGTAGTCCATCATCGCAATCGGCTTCAAAGGCATCGTAACGGGCATGCGCGTCCGATGGCGAGGATCGTCAGGGGCAGCAGCCCGCGTGCAATAACTGCACCATGACCTAAACGGAATGTGGGTCAAGTAGTGCTCCTCCTTCTCGTGATCTGACGGGCCGATGGGGACCTTCACGGATCTGCGGGGCCTCGCCTCCTCAGAGGCGCCCAGGGGAGCCGGAATGCGTCGCAGCGCCTCCCTGGGGGCCGCCGGGGGCGCAGGGGCCTTTGCAGGTGCTGCGTCCGCCGCCGCGGGGCCTACCGCAGGCGCGGGCTGTGCCTCCTCCGCAGTCGCGGGCTCAGCCGCCGACGCGGGCTCTCCTACTTCGATGGCCGTTGGGGCGCGTGCTGCACGGATCCCCCGGGGCCTGCCGCCGCGGCCTCAACCACGGCGCATCCGACTGCATGACGAGGTCGACGCAGCCTCCACTAGCCGCGTGGAGCATCTCACGCTCCGGCGCGAGGACGACAGTCGCCCCTCCGCGTCGCAGAGCAGAGGCCGAGAGGATCAGGCAGTTCACGTTCGTCACGATCCACGTGATAGCCAGCTCCTCCCCGTTGTCCAGCACGTAGGTGATGTTCTTGGTGCCGTAGTTGATGATGGGCTCACTCGTGGCACTCACCATGGGACGAAGATCCCTACGAGGAGGCAGCATGGGGACATCAGAAGCATAGTCAACAGGGCACGCCACAAACCCCGCCCACGAGTCCAGCAGGGCGAGTTCGACGCCACCATGGCCCACCGCAGCAATCATGCCGGCAGGCTGGATCATGTTGACCGTCAGTGGATCGCCCACGGCTCGCCGGGAGACGAGCTGGACGCCGCGCCGGAGCCCTGAGGAAGAACTGCCGGTGGTACGGGTAGAGCCGGCGGCGCGGGGCCTGGACCCATGACGAAGGTGCCTGGGGGGTGAACGGAGTGGATGCCGTGCGCCGGAGGCGCTCCCCCCTGGCCGGGGTACCACATGGGGTGGAAGAGCGTCGGGTACGCCGCGTTCATCGGCATCGGCACGCCCGGCGAGGGCAGTGCCAGCTGCGTGCTGGCGCTGCTGCTTCCTGCTGCCCCTGCTGCCCCTGCTGCTGCTCCTCCTGCTCTTCCTTGGGCCTCCTCTGTCACGCTGCGGGCTCCTGCTCCTGGTAGTGGCTTGCCGCTCGAGTCCACCTTCCCGGCTTTGATGTCGGCCTTGAGTTTCCTGCAGTCCTGTTTGATGTGATTGGGCTTCCCGCAGTAGTGGCAGTCCTTGCCCGCATTGGGGTTGGCGTTGTCCTTGCTCTTGGCTTTGCCTTTGGAGTCCTTTCCTTTTCCCTTGGGGTCCTCCCCCTTGCCCTTGGAGGTCTTACCCTTGCCGTCCTTGACGGCTCCGATCACCATGGGGTCGTCGACGTCGATCCTGGGCCCACGTCCGCCTGGCCACGGCGAAGTTCAGGATCTCCGCTCGCAGCTGCTGGTACGTGTCCAACCTCGCGGCGTTGAGCTCGAGGTGATCCCGGACTTTCACGTTCAGCATCCCGCCGATGAGCACGGATATCTTCACGTCCTGGTCCAAGACCTTGCCGCTCTGTTCCTCGTAGCGCCGTACGTCCCTCTCGAAGCTCTCGATCTCCACCGCCAGGTCGCCGTTGGGGTCCTCTCCGAACCCCCTCCGCAGGAGGGCGTGGAGGGCCGCCCCGTGACGGACTCGCACGTCGGGCTCGTGCTCCCAGCAAAGGCGCCTGCAGGCCTCCGCGCCGTTGCCCTGCTCCACGTTGCCGATCAGGCGCTGGGCGTCGTCCGTGGTGAGCATCGCCAGCATGTAGTGCAGCTGGCGGCTCAGGGTGAGCGCGACCTCGTCCAGATCGTGAGCGTCCACGACCTGGCCGCCCATCGCCTCCGCGCGGCGGAAGAGCTCCGCCATGTTGGCGTGCGCGGCGCAGGCGAACGCTTCGGAGACGAAGCGGAAGTGCCTCCACCCCTCGCGCCGGCCCGAGAAGCTCGACGGCTTCCCGAGCGTCCGTGTGTCCACGGTCGCGCCGCCAAGGTGCTCCGCGAGCGCACGCTGCGGCGCTACGGGGGGCGCCGCCCGAAGCTGTCCGAGCTCGGCCTGCGCCGCCTGCAGGCCCTGCTCCGCGGCCTGCCCGCGCTGCTGCTGCCGCTGGAACTCCTGGGCCATCTCCTGCTGCCTGGCCTCCATGGCCTGTGGCCGCTGGGCCAACTCCTCCATCGTTCCGGCCAGCGCGACGCTCTCGAGCGCCGATGGAGCACCCGCCGCGCTTGCTGGGCATGCGCTGCCGCAGACCGCGGGGCTGCCGCAGGTCGCGGAGGCGACCAGGCGCGGGGCAACCGCTGCCTAGTGGCCGTCCCAGGCGCGGAGCTGCCCGCTGCCTAGAGTGGAGCCGCGGATTCAAACCGCCAGCTCCGCTACCATGCGCGAGTACGAAACTCGCGGGAGTGATCGCAGACGGGAGGGAAAGACTGGGGGCGCTCTATTCCTCCACGCTCGGATGCTTAAGCCAAGACGGTCGCGGGACCGGTTTCGCCGTTGCGCCGCAACCGCTGCTACGCCCTGCACAACATGCTATGCGCAGACTTGCATCATGCTTCAGTCTACTACTATTCTAAGCTATGTAGTTCACAACTCACTCTGCCTTTAGCCTCGGCCTCAGCCTGCCTCAGCCTCAGCCTCAGCCTCAGCCTGCCTCAGCCTCAGCCTGCCTCAGCCTCAGCCTCAGCCTGCCTCAGCCTCAGCCTCAGCCTGCTTCAGCCTCAGCCTCAGTCTTCCTTCAGCCTCGGCCTCAGCCTGCCTCAGCCTCAGCCTGCATCAGCCTCAGCCTCAGCCTCGGCCTGCCTCAGCATCAGCCTGCCTCAGCCTCAGCCTCAGCCTGCCTCAGCCTCAGCCTCAGCCTGCTTCAGCCTCAGCCTCAGTCTGCCTTCAACGTCGGCCTCGGCCTCAACCTGCCTCAGCCTCGGCCTGCCTCAGCCTCAGCATCAGCCTGCCTCGGCGTTCAAAATGTGGCCCGGGAGCGGAGTTCCGGGAACTCGAAACACGAAGTGGCCTACAGTTGGCTCCGGGCATTCAAAATCATGCCCAAGAATGGAGTTCAGGGAACTCGAAGACCACGAAGTGGCCTACAGTTGGTTCCGGGCATTCAAAATGCTGCCCAAGAATGGAGTTCTGGGAACTCGAAGAGCACGAAGTGGCCTACAGTTGGCTCCGGGCATTCAAAATCATGCCCAAGAATGGAGTTCAGGGAACTCGAAGACCACGAAGTGGCCTACAGTTGGTTCCGGGCATTCAAAATGCGGCCCGGGAGTTGAGTTCTGGGAACTCGAAGAGCACGAAGTGGCCTACAGTTGGCTCCGGGCATCCAAAATGCGGCCCGGGAGTTGAGTTCTGGGAACTCGAAGAGCACGAAGTGGCCTAGAGTTGGCTCCGGGCATTCAAAATGTGGCCCGGGAATGGAGCTCTGGGGCCTCGAAGACCACGAAGTGTGTAACTGTTTGCTTTAAACGACTTCCGCGGATCCCTGTCCGGATGCCGCCCAGACCCCCCTGGGGAGTCATGATTCTCTTTTTTGGCCCTATTAGAAACCTATCAATCTTCGCTGTTAGGTAAAAACGAACAAGAGAGAAATAGGAGGGAGGTCCTAAGGCAGCGCCTGAAGGCGAACAGAAATGGACACTGGAGACGGACAGCAGAAACAACCAAGAAATCCCAAGACCACCGAGACGCCGAGCCCAAGTCACAGAGGACACCATTTGGAGACCCAGCCGTCCTGGGGCCGCGCTGGGTGACTGAGACTGCGGGTGCTGAGGTGGACTGCAGCGCGCCGCCGTCAAGAAGGTCAGCGTCAAGGATTCAAAGCTCCCTCCCGCCATCAGCGCAGCGCTGCAGGCTCCAATCGCACAGCTCAACGTCGCACGTCTTGGAGCCGACGGCGCAAGCGAGTGCGTATGCGCTGATGCTGAACACGGTGCCGGCGGCGGAGCCAGCGGAGCTGGCGCTGGTGATGGCATGGGCGCCATCTGTGGTGCTGGCGTCGGTGCTGGCGTCGACGCTGCTGAACTGCGCTGGCGTTGGTGCAGGCGTAGTCGTTGACGTCGGTGTTGGCGTCGGCGACGGTGCTGACGTCGATGCTGGCGTCGGTGCTGAGCTCGGCGCTGGGCTGACGTCGCTACCGGCGAAATCGCTGACGCCAATGCCAGTATCGGTGCTGGCATAAACGCCGACTCTGGTGCTGAAATCAATGCTGGCGTCAGTGCTGGCATATGCGCCAGCTTTGGTTCTGGCGTCGGCGCTGGGCTCCACGCTAGGGCACTGCACTGACGTTGGTGCAAGCGTAATCACTGACGTCGAAGCTGGCAACGGTGCTGCCGCAGGCGCCACCTCTGGCTGGTGCTGACATCGATACCGGCATCGGTGCTTGCATAGGCGCCGACAATGGTGCTGGCGTCGGGGCTGGCGGAAATTCTGGCGTCGGAGCTCGCGACGGTGCTGGTGTAGGCGCTGGCGCTGGTGCTGGCATGGGAGCCATCAGTGGTGCTGACGTCGGTGCTGGCGTCGACGCTGTCGAACTGCGCTGGCGTTGGTGCAGTCGTAGACGTTGACGTCGAGGCTGGCATCGGTGCTGCGGTAGGCGTCAACTCTGGTTCTGACGTCCATCCCGCGCCATGGCGAAAAGTGTGTGCATCCCGCGCCATGGCCGCGGCGGCCGCGGCTGCTCCTGGCGCTGGCGGGATTCTATGCGATGGAGGTCGGCAGCCTCCTGAAGGGCTTGCCGCCCGCGCAGGCGGCCTTCGGCGCCGCCCTCGCTGCGATGGCCACGGCGGCAAGCGCCACGGCGGCGTCGTCGGCGGCTGCTCGTGGCGCAGCCCAAGGCGCCGCTGCGTGCGGAGGCTCGCGGACGGTGGCGCCACTGAAGTTCCGGAAGCGCTCGTCGCGGTGCAGCGCGGCGCCGACTTGCGGGGGAAACCAGCGCTCCCACAGGCTAAGGGCCTCCTGCGGCGCCATGGCGGGCAGGCGCTCGCCTCGCGGCTTGGGCGCCTGAGCAACGCCCGCATGGAGGCCACCTCGATGTCGGGCTGCCTGGCGACCTGGCCAAGCTCTTCATGGCATAACTCGGCAAAGAGGACACTCTGACTCGAAGGCCGTGAAGGAGATAACGCACGAGTTCGCAATGGCGGAGGAGCCGCAGGAGGCCAAGAAGAGGTGCGCGAATCGCATCGAGCAAATCTTGAGGCGCAGTACGGTCTTGCGCACTGTTGCTTCTCTATTCGCAGCACACTGGTAGAAGTTGGAGGACAAGCTCGAGTACGGCGACAAGGCTTGGCTTGGCTTGGTCCCACAAACAATCAAATGGGCTTACTCGAAACACTCGTGGTCAGAACATCAGGAAGTCGGTGCAAGATACTCTCTACTGGGTGGACATGCCCAAGCCGCTGATGTTTTAGGCTGTTAAAGCAATCAGATGGCGTCGCCAATCTATCTGAATGAAGGCTTTCGGGAACGAGTCGCACAAGGCACAGGTCGAGACGAAGTACGGCCTCGTAAACTCCTGCGACGCCATACGCAACACCCTGCAGGAGGAGAGGCTGCAGGACAAGTGTGAGGACGCTGAGAAGGGGCTAGAGGGCATCGTCAGCACTATCTTGAAGAAAAAACGCCAAACCACTGGCGACTAATTGCGGGAAACGGGAAGCCAGAGCCGTTAAGCATTAGCTAAGCTAGAGTACGGGGCGATGGGCGGCCTCGAGAACTACTGCTTCACCATGTGCAACGCCCTGCAGGAGGAGAAGCTGACGCAAAAACTCGAGGATGGGGACATGGGGAAGATAGAGGAGGCTTTGCAGGACGCCCTCGACTGGGTGGATAAGCTTCAGCTCGCTCACAAGCTCGAGGGCAAGCAGAAGGAGCTAGACGACATCGTCAACCCCATCATGCAGAAGGTGTACCAGGCCAGAGGTGGCGTCCGCATGCCCCTAAAGCACGCGGTGGTGAAGGACGACCTCAAGGGCTACTGCTCCACCATGCGCAACACCCTGCAGGAGGAGAATCCAGAAGAGATGAACGAGACCCAAAATTGGTCGCAGGACGATCAGGAGGCGCTGCTCGAGAGCCTCCATATTGCGCAAGAGCTGACGCTCTGAGTCGTTCATCGGTCCGACAGCAGCTGGGAAGGTTCCCCGACACGGTGCACCTTGAAATGCTCCTTCTCGGCTTCTTCAAGGAGCAGGAAGAATACTCATCACGTAATGGTGCAATGTGCCACCGCTCACTCTTCGGCTATCCCCTGATGTTGCTGTGGGTGCGATGCAGATCCCGTGCCAGCTTCCCAGGTCGTGAGACCCGGGGTGGTCCCCTCGGTTGTCACTTGCCCCCGCCAGCGGCTGGTCGGAGTCCGTGCGCAGCGAATCGTCTAACATAATCCCTCTCTCCTTCGCTGTTTCCATCATCAATATTTTTCTCTTCCTCCTCTCCTTTCTCCTCCTCCTCCTTCTCCTCCTCTCCCACTCCTCCTCTGCCTCGCCGTAATCGTCGTCGACGTTGTCGTCGCCTCCCTGAGGATGCCAATCCGCTGGAGAAACAAACATGCGGCCACGCGCAATGCCGGTCCGGCACTGAATTCGCGCTCTGGTCCGGCAGAGCATGCGGGCAGCAAAAATGGAGCACACAGGTGGCGCCGCGCGTCGCCTCAGCGCTCCGCCTCTCAGCCAATGTCGCTCCTCCTGCTCCTCCTCATTCTCATTCTCATTCCTCCTCTTTCTCATCCTCCCCATCCCTCCTCGTTCTCATCCATGCCCATTACTCCTCATTTCTCATGTTTCATTAATCCTCTTCATTCCCATTCCTCCTCCGCATTCCTCCTCCTCTTTTTATCCCTCTTCCTCCGCCCTGAGATCAGGCTCTCGAGGCGGAAACGTTTGTGTAATTGATACCAGCCACCATGCTGGAGTGTCCTCAGGTCCCCTTGAACCCTCGGTATATATGTTGCCAAAACTGTGGTTGCACTTATGGGGAGATCTTACTACTCTTCGAAGGAGCTGGGCCTGGTTGTGGCCGCCCTCGCCGCCTTCCTTGATCACGATTTTGATTGCGCGAGGCTCGCACTTTGCATTGCTTTGCATCGCATTGGGTTGCATGTCATTGCAATGGCTTTGCGCTGCTTTGCGTTGCTTTGCTTTGCTTTGCATGGCATAGCTCTGCATCGCTTCACATTGTTTTGAATTCCGTGGCTTTGCATGTCATTGCAATCGCTTTGCGCTGCTTTGCGTTGCTTTACGTTGCATTGCTTCGAGCTGCTCAAAATAACAATAGTCTCTATCACCCTCTCCCCCTGGACTTACCGACATCCCTTGGGACACGGCGATTTACATATGATGTTGCCCCATGACTCGTTTTCCAATTGAATTCATACCGCCCCAGGCACGCAAGGTACGCCCGCCCCCTCCACCCTGTCAGATGATACCATGCGCGCGCACTTGTTTATCGCGAAGGATATTACCCAATAGCCCTTTGCAACCAATGGCACGAACTCCACATGAGCGCGTATATGTCGAAATCGCACCAAACACACTAGCTCTGCAACCAAACCAGCAGACATATGACAAGCACGTAAGGTGTTTCATCACCCATGTTGCAATTTCCCTGCCCGCGTGCAATTGCTCAAATCAGGGGACCGATCGGAACATTCCCGCCCAAAAACCCGCATTCTCATCTCACCACGCGGTGCATCCGTGTTGATCCAGCGTGCGCCCGGTGCATGAAGTGCGTATCATGCCATGCGGGCCGCACGCGCGCGCCGCCACGCGAGCGTGTCGAACTCCTTGCGAAACCCTCGTTGTTCGAAACACTACAGAAGCGAACTCTTCAACACCAAATGAAACAACTAAACATTCCGGGGTTCTTGGATTTCCGCGCTCGCACGTCCCCACCACCACCCTCAACAACGCCGGCGCATCACGCCATCGTCATCGACAATCGCCGACACCATCACTCATTCACCTTCATCATCGACGCATGGGCATCGTCATCATCATCATTATCATCGAGATCATCACCATCATCATCGTCATATATGTTACCAACATCTGCGCCGCCGTTGACCTTGCTGTCACCATCGTCACCATGTCAGCCATCGCTACAATCATCATCATCGTTGCCGCCGTTGCCAACGTCATCATGAAACCGCGCTCGCCAGAGGCAGCGACCCGCATTGAAGTGCCCGCGCGCCAGCGCGGCCTTTGACATGCGGTGGGAAGTTGCCATCAGAAACTGCCATCGAGGCCGTATCGGTTGTGTCAAACCAGCTGGCCACTCTGCGCGCGAGCTTGCGCGCGCAAACGCGGCCGCAGAGATGCGCCAGCCAGGGCCGAGCAGTCATCACAATCGCCGCCGCATGGGTATTGCAAAACAGGTTGCGGGTGGGAGGGTGGGATGATTACGCGAGCAATGGAGTTGACAATTCATGAGCTGGCACGTATTAGTTTGTACCACGTCGATTCCACCACATTGTTGCACCACCTGGGCTATGCCACATTGATTGCACCGCATCCATTATAATTCCGTGTTTGGGGTCCAGGCTGGCTAACATTGAGTGATGTAAATGATCTCTGGAGGGCCCCGAATCCCTTACTGCCAGAAGGCCGGGGCGCTCGTGGGGCTTCTCGCGGTGGGTTCTTGCGAGTTCAAAAGTCCACCATCATCCACGAGAGTTCCAAGGGACCATACCTGAGCGTCTTGGGGACTCGTGGGCAATCTTAGAGACACTCATGGCGGGACCAAGAAACCACAATCACTGACACGTTTTAGGTTACCGTGTGTTTTCGCATTCTCGCCGTGGCGGTCTGAAACGCGCCCAAGATGTCCCAAGAAACTCTCATGGTCGCCCCAAGACGGCCTCCGAGGTCCCCAAAACGCCCTTGGACGGCCCTGAAGAGGGCCCCCCACAGCGAGTCACCAGCAGATCGCGAGAAACCTCCCCTCCAAGGTGGACCCAAGACCCCCTAAAGGCCTCGAAAAGACAGCCACGGACGCCTTCAAGATGCCCCCCAGAGGACGCCAAGATGCCGCCAAGCGGCCTCTGATCCACGTCCCTGGCGCGGTGGCGAGATGGGCCGAAGGCGCTAGATTGATGACCCCCCTGGCACAACGACAATTACGGTTCCTGCTCTCTCTTGGCTTGAGCCGAAATTGAAGTGGTAGTGCGCGGAGTTGCCAGGAACAAGGTGTTTGCGGAAAGAAGTTGGCCCGCGGGGATATTGCCAGCAAATGGGCGACTTCCACGACCTCCCCCCTCCCCCCTTCCTTCCTCCCTGCTCCCTTCCCCTCATCCCCCCCCTCCGCTCCTCCCTCCCTCACTCCTGGCCCGCTCGCAGACCTGGCAGTTTGGTCAGTGAACCTCCCCCCCCCTCCCTCCCCCCTCCCCTCCCCCCTCCCCTGCTCGTGCCCCTTCTCCCCCCCCGCCCCTCCTCCCTCCTCCCCGCCGCCCCCGCACGGCCAGGTCGCACGAGCACCGACACGTATCCTCGCACTACGCATGGGCACATTACACGACAGGCTATGCGAGACGCCAGGACGAGGACGCTGCTCACACCGTCGTGGGGCTCATAAGGTGCTTGTAAGGTTCGACAGGGCTCGAAGTGCGTGGCGTACGGCCAAGAAGAAGACCTACCCACCAGCGTTGTGCCAGATGTTAGCGGACGGTACCATGGACGCAATCAACCACACGGGTGTGTCGTGTGATGACAGGGAGTGGCCAGAGGACATGAGGGAGGAGGAGGAGGAGCTTTGTGAGTCGCTTAGGGCGTGTTCTGTAAAATGGGACCCACACCTCGGGACTGACGAGACCTGGGTTCCAGATGTTGCTGCACTTCGTGCAGGACGGGTCCGAGCGGATCCTGAAAGGCACAGGCTTTTGCCACCTGAGCCTACGAATGCGGATGAAGCTCCAGGTCCAGAGATCGTTTTCGACCCAGAGGCCACACCTCGGGACCCAGGCCCTATCGAAGCTACCGATTAGCAAGTGTATGCAGAAATTTTGGCCTTCTTAAACTGAGCTGGCATACCGCAGCCAGAGGACACAGAGCCCCCTGGTCCCTGCTCTCCCTCCTCTCTCGTGCCGCCTCCCCCCACAGCCAGATGAGCTCTCACCGAGGCATTGCGCCAACGGATCGCAGCCAGTCGAGCGCAGGCCATGGACAGTCGCAGGCTGCGCCTCGCCAAGAGGATAACCCCTTGGACGTTGCAGGCCGATTTCGGTGCTGGGCTTTTTGACCAAGTGTGTGACTAGTCATATGCGGGAGGGCAGGGCAGTCAGGTCAGGAGCAGGGTGGAGGTACTGAGTCGTAGCACTTGGGCACTGCCCGCTGACCTCACCCACAAATGCCAGCCAGACTTGCCAATCTACCCGTTCAGCTTGGCACGGCCGTCAGGCCAGTCAGATCACGTGTTGAGCACTAGTGAGAGACCGCCCCCCTCCCCACTGTCACCTCCCATTCTTTGCTCCCTCATCTGTCAGGCGTAGACGCATAAGACATGGTTGTGTGCCTCCCCCTCCCCGCGCCGCCCGCCAGGTACACGTCCCTCCGCCCGTTAGGATGAGGAGCAGAGGAGCGGAAGCGGCGTGCTCAGACACTGCGTTTGACATTATGTCTTGTTTGTCTGTGCCCTCCCTCTGCCCGACATTATGTCTCGTGTATCTGTGCTTTTGTTCGGCGTTCAGGGTCGCTTCGCCAACATCTGTCCAGGACCGCCCACGCTTCCCCTTTTCTCCTGACCATGGTTGCGAGTCGGAGGCGCGCATTTTACTGCGCTCTTGTTGAATGGCAGGCCCCTGTGGTCTGTAAGACCGCCAAGGGTGGCGCACTCAGCGATTTAGCGATACCTGCCCGTCAAATACCTTTACGAAGGTCCATGGAGATGGAGATTGGCACGGGCGGGATGGGACTTAGTGCTCTGAACTTGTTCATTTGGTGCCCGTGCATATGACCTTTAGATGCACTCTGCTAGCTGCAGCGCCGCCCGTACGTGACAGCCAGATGGTTCACCACGCGTGCAATGCCAGACCTGCCGCCCCCCCCCCCACACCCCTCCTCCCTCCCTCCTCCCTCCCTCCTCCCTCCCTCCTCCCTCCCTCCTCCTCCCCTTCCGCCCCCTATCCGCCTCTTCCCTCCCCCTCCTCACGCTGGCCGGCGCCGCCCCCAGGCTGGGCGGGGGGCGTCTGCTCAGAGGAACTCCAGGCGCCTGGGCCGCACGAGCTCCCGCGCGGCGCGCGCCTGCCGGCTCGGAGGCCGCCGCGGGCCCGCGGGCGGGGGAGAGACGGCGGACGGAAGAGTCGGAGGCGGAGTGGCCGCGTGTCGGAGGCGGAGCAGTCGGAGGGAGGGAGGGGTGCCCGGCCGGTGTTCGCGTTCGCCTGCCAGGTCGACGCGGACTCGTTCGGCGTCGGGGGTTGGCGCGTAGGGGGGGCGGCGGACACGCGGTCCGCAGGAGGAGGGGAAGGAGGAGACGACGGAGGCGGAGGTGGGGAGGAGGAACTGGGGCAGGAAGATGACGCAGGAGATGGGGAAGAGGAGGAGGAAGAGGAGGAGGAGGGAATAATAATAATAATAATAATAATAGTAATAGTAATAATAATAATAATAAGAAGAAAAAGAAGAAAAAGAAACGCATGATGTGGAGTATTGAATACTCCGCGGGCCGAACACCACCCTGTCTGGCACGTAAGCCACCCCAGGCAGCACGATGCACGATGAGAGAGAGAGAGAGAAGAGGAGAGAGAGAGAGAGAGAGAGAGAGAGAGAGAGAGAGAGAGAGAGAGAGAGAGAGAGAGAGAGAGAGAGAGAGAGAGAGAGAGAGAGAGAGAGAAAAAGAGAGAGAGAGAGAGAGAGAGAAAGATACGCGCCCGATGCTGCAATACACCCCCCCGCCCCAAATTCTTTCTTTCTTTCTTTACGATTCGGGCCAATGCGTCTAGCACACACCCCTACCCACTGCGTCACCATAGCGCTCCACCCACGAACGTCGCCGACAGCGCTCCCAGTGCCCACTCCAAAGCCAGCATCTCCGCCAGAAAAGAAGAATTCAGATTTCCAAAGCACTTCCCTGCCCTGTACAATTCGGTTCGACACGATGTTGCTGTGTACCCGTAGATAACCATGCCCCCTGCTGCCCTGCCGTTTCCTCGCAGGGCACCGTCGACGCACACTCGCAGGTTCATGCGGTCGGCGGTCGCCCGGCACACCACCTCGTCGCATATCCTCTCCCAGTCGCTATCCGTGTCCAGCGCGACATTCGCAGCGTGATCCGCGACGGCGTTGTACTGTCTCTCGTCCCATTCGATAAACGGCGTTGTGTTCCGTCTCGGAAGGACTCCAGCCCCGAGCAACTGAAGTATCTGTCTACCAATGCGAACGCAGACGGGGCGAGTATATTCGCACTTCAATTGAGCATGACCGGCAAAAATGTTTCTCAACAGCTGGTTGTCGACTTGAATCCAAACGCGCCGTGCTCCGCCATCCCAAGAACCCTCCTTGCTGTTGGCCAAGCATTCTGGTATGTCGTCGATCCCGGTGCTGAACTTCATCCGCTTTGCCGGCCTCCCGACCACCTCGTCCACCGGCTCCTTGAGTGGAAGAACCCAGATGTGAAAGAGAGAATCCCGGAAATCGCCGAACTTGCGCAGCCACTGTGCCAGTGTAGTGCACGTCGCCATTTGGGATCTCCACTCCACGCCCCATACGTCCACAAAAGGTCTCTCCCAAGATGCGGGCTGCTGCCCGCAATGTTTCCGCACCAAGCCGAGCTTCCGTCGTTTTGTTTCCGATGCCAGCGCTAAACACCCACTCCACCATTGCGCGTTGCGGTAAGTGTGCAAATCCTGCAGAAGTAGCTGCCCATTGCCAATGTGGAACGCAGTTTCCTTCCACGCTCTCTTGAACACTGCCTTCAGAATGCGCCCTGGTAGGGGGCGCGCCGAGGCGCGAAACATCCACGTACGAATGGCATCTGAAGTGCGGCCGTTGCATGCCCAATTCGATTCACCCGGGCGCCGTTTGAGACGCAAGATCCGCCGTAACATTTTGTTCTCCCACCTGCGTGCCGCATGCAATAGACCAGACGTGAAATGCCACGTGCAGCAATTGTAGCAAGCTCGCGTGGCGGTAGAGTCATGCCACAATTTCAGCCGCCTGCGGAAACTCGCCCCGACATTGCTTAAGACATTCCTGTGCTTGAAATAATGCGCCTCCGCTATGCGAATATTGTGCTCGTAACTGACAAAAGTGGAACCGGCATCGTCGAACTTATCTCCCAGGATACCCATGCAGTCCACTCGCTTGTACTCCAAAGTCTCGCCGTACTGGGTGACTGTGACGGTAGCGGGATCAGCTCCTCGCAGAGACCCGCTGCACATGACCTCCGGGGATGAAGGTTTCCATTTCAGATACCTGTGGCCGTGCGCGTCGGTGTGGCTCCCCAGCGCGACGTTGACATCGTCGACCATGGTCTTCGTCATGGTCGCATCGGTGGCGAATAATATGAAATTGTCAACCCAAACGGCGTGGTTCAACAAACACTGCGCGCCGCCCTCTTCGTCCGGAAACTTGAAACCCATTGATGATGCAGTCCATTTTTCGACGACGGGCTCCATCAAGTGCTCGGTCATGCAATTCCATTCGTCTGGGGTTTCTACTCCCCCCTGCTTCCCGCCTTTCGCAAATAAAAACGGCTCCGATGTGCCGGCTAAAGGTAATGTGATCCTGGCGCGCAACCCCGTGAGATCTCCCATGAGAAGAGCCACGTCTCTAGCGGTAACCCCTCGTGCCAGCAACGAGTCCTGCATCAATTCATGCGGCATGGAATCGAACGCTATGGAAACGTCATACCCAGATACGCAAATCGGCAAGTTCCAAACTGCAGCGGCGTACAGCGCTTCTCGTACCACGCTGTTGAAGTCAGCAGTAGAAAAACATTTCTTGAAACCGTATGTGTGCACCCGTGATGGCCGACAACTGTCCCGAACACGTGGCCTCAGAGCTCGAACGAACCATTTTTGCAGCACCGGCGACTTGCCAATCCACCTCATGTCGCCGAGCTCGTGGATACGATGCGATTTCGGCAGGCACTCCAATATTTTCCAGTAAGGCGACTGGGACGCCGGCTCCGGATCCCGCTCCGCCCCTAAGAAGAAGAGCATGCAAGCGGGCAGTTGCAAGAAACGGTAAAGCTTTGAAAACCTCCGTTGGGTTGCCGTCGACGCCGCCCGCCCCGCCGGCTTTCATGGAGGCTTGCGCTTGGAGCGTATCCCAGAACTCGATGTCGGTACCATGGGTTTCTTGTTGCACTCGTTCTTGCAGGCCGTGCCAACGATCCAACTGATGCGCTGCAAGATTGGTATCATCCCCGAACCGTTTTAGCCCGAATCTGAACGCAGCCTGCATCCATTCTTCCCTGTCGTATGAGATAGCCCCATCAATCTTGAAGGAAGTCGGAATGAAATGCTTGTCTGCGCAACTTGTCCGTATGCTAGCAAATTTACGCTGCAGCCTGTGTGCCCTCGACTCCCGAATCATTTTCCAAATTGTTTTCATAATAGTTTTTCGGTTGGCCACGTCGCCTTCCACCCGCAATTTCCAACGTAACTGTCGCAACGCATGTCGTCGTGTAGCCCTCACGTCGGTACTCCATTCGCGGTCCCACTCATGATGCAGACGGCCGATCCCGTACAATACGTCCTCAAAGTACCGGAGATCTGCTTGAAGAGTGTCTGGACGGACCACGGATCCCAGGAAGGACTCCCGAACCCGAGGATGAGATAATGTACCCTTCGGGAGTTTCCGGAGTAATGCTGTCGGACGTGCGCTCTCCGTGCTCATGCCCTCGCGCGGCTCCCAGCGTATGGCGGCCAGCACTGGCCGATGGTCCATCTTCACCCATAAAGCTGACTCGGACTTGATGTCGAGAAAATTCAAAGGCTTCCCCACGCCGTCCAGCCCATCAGACACGGCAACAAAATCAATCTGAGATCTGGCCTTCTCTTTTCTCCGCAACCCGCACGTCCAGAGCTCAGAGTGTGCCGCCTCGTTGTTGTAGGTGTTCAGCGCCCGAATCCCCAGCGCCTCCATCCAGGACAGGATTGGGTGCTGCATGGAAGGGCTGTGAGACCGAAGAGGGTCTCGCACACCTGATCCGGTAGTCCCAAGCACGTTGCCTGGCAAAGTGACGTTCGCATCGAAGCCCGCCACCACCTGCAAGCGAGAACCGTATTTGGACCTGTAGTGCTCGAAAAACTTGATTGTCCCCTCCCTGGCATCATCGATTAGAGTATCACCAAAACTGTCACTGACATCACGTTTGTTGTGGATAAAATGAACGCTGAAATATAAAATATACTGCCCGCCCCCCATGTCCACGACCAGACCGCTCCAATATCGACTGTGCTGCTCACCCTTGATTTTAAGATTCAGGCCTCTGGGAACCAGAAAGCCACAATCGAATCCGTCCCGCAGGGCAGCTTCATCGTCTTTAGTGCGGCTGGTGTGCACGATAAACACCGTCACTGTTAGTACCCGCCCGGTTGTCCAGCGAGGTACTTCCTGCAAGCAGACGACGGCCGAACCCATGCCCAACCGTTTCAGGGCCCCGTAGACCCGGACACGCTAGACCCGGACACCCAACATCCCTCGAAACCAATTTTTCCAAACGGCGGCACGAACAAAATATTGCACTGCAACATTTCCCATATAAATCCGGACACAGGCCTCAAAAGCCTGCAAAACCCCCCTAAACCCAGACACAATCCCGAATCCTGCAGTGCAGCAAACAAAACATCCACGGGTGCTGAAAAACGTGACTTTGCAGGAAAGGATGTCGTTTCCTTGGTTTTCCGTGTCCTGGTTTATCTGTGTCCTGGTCTCCGGGGGCCTGACCGTTTGAAACTTCGTGCAATCCGGATTGCTTCGCAAGGACTCCGTTTATGCAAGTTGTAGGTTGCAACCGAAACCGATCCTTCGACCGGGATCGAATTATGCAGTGGGCCCCCTAGCTCCGGCTCGGGAGCCGGAACGATGTCACCTGGGATGTTGCATTTTCTGCACTCCCGAGGCCCGCCACACGAAGCCCTTCTGGTTCCCACTCGATCTTCCCACCGTCGACCACCTTGCACAAAACCGTCGATGGCTTGACTCCGTGTGAGCCTTCCTCTTGCGACGTTGCAACAATGATCGTGTACTTGTACTCCCCGTTCCAATACACCACTGCTCCAAGCCCTGGGTCCAAGGTCGCGGCCCAATCGGAAACCTTCCCGAACGTTTGCCAAACTTTCAGAACATTAGGATGGGGTTGTGCCCGCACCCGGAGCTGAATACTCTCCTTGTACTTGTTCCTGGGGTCCTGGAGGTGGTCGTTCCACGTATTTTTGATTTCTTCCAAATGCTTTGTGGTGATGGGCACCCGGATGGAATGATTTTTACCCGCCCGGAGTTCGATCTCCCTGACGTGCTCCTTCAAGCTGGAGTCGAGAAGAATCTTCAACTGCTCGACCACCTGCATCGCCTCCGTCCTCCCCACCCCCTTCTGATCCCGCTCCTCGAACCTACAGAAGCCCAAGATGTCGACATACGTAGGCTTGAATCCGGAACTCGACCCCTCTGATTGCCCACCCTCCAAAACCGTGACCCGCTTCTTCAGATCGTTATAATCCTGCTTGAGCGATGTGATGTCGGATTTCGCTGTGGCAACGTCTTCCTTGATCGGTGCGAGCATGGTCTCGACTGTCGTCGCGTGCTGCTTGACAAGGGCATCCGAAGCGGCCGCCCACCACTCAGGAGGAGACGCCATGGCAAGCAACAAAGCAGCAAGCAAATGGTTAAAGTGTTGTCCGACCTCTAGTGCCCTATTCGGGGCCGCTCGAAGACCCCAAGATGGCTTGAGCCAAAATGGCTACGCTTGACCCCAAGATGGCTTGACCCCAAGATGGCTTGACTCCTACGGATCTGCCTCTTCACTGGAGGAAGAGCCCCTCTAGAAAGACGAGGAAAGATGAGAACGCGATGGTGACCATAAACTGCCAAGATCCTTCAGGCGAACTAGACAGATGCGCCCTCAGCCGTGTCGCTGGTGCAAATGCTGGCACCGTTTATTGTTGGTTACCGTGTATATATGAATAACACCACGTTATATAATGTATATATGTGCCTATATATATATACAAGACTGCGGTGGCGCGCCATGCGCCTTGGTCCTTGAAGTTTGGTATGCAGGCGAAATAGCAAGAAAGTCTAGCCGACAATTGAACGATAACTCCTTGTTGCCTTTTCCGGCATCGCCGCTGTAATAATGTTATTCGTTATCCTTCCTTCATGCTGATTTTTCCGCATGTTCGCCATACTCTGCGCATTCTCCCCATCCTCCTCAGCTCTTTTTTGCGGAGGCTCCTCCTTGGAGAGCCTCTGGGGGCCTGACAAAAGTTGTTTCAGGCTTTCTTGAGGCCTTCTGGAGGCCCCCTGGGCGTATTCTGGGGGCCTCTGGGGGCTTCCTCGGGCCACCCTGCCTCCAACCGCGGTCTTCCTGAACGACTGGGTCACGATTTGGAATACTTCGGAGGGTGTCTTGGGGCCATTGGGCCGCCATGGGGCTCTCTGAGGGCCATCTTGGACCCGTGTTGTGCCGTTTTGGGGCTCTCTTGGACTGCCTGGAAGCCCTTTCGGATGGTTGTGGGGCGATTTTGGAGCCTTCCAAGCGGCTTCGGACGCCCAGAAGACCGCTATCTTGGAGCGCCGGGAAGCCGAAAAGAGGAGAACCCCCAAATTCACCAAAAACCAACAAATTATTCACTGCGTGGAGCTCCCCATATGTGCATCTATTCGCATGGACCTGTCCGCCGTGAATGTCTAGGCGCAAGAGCTTTCGAATATAAATGGGCTTCAATTGTGACGGTCTGGTCATGAATCTGACTGAGAATGAATTGGAGTGTGAATGAGCCTCAGTAGTACGAGCGTGTCTCTGCGCATGAGCCTGGGTCCTCCTGGGGCCTGAAACCTACTGGGGCCTCCTAGGGCCTTCAGGAGCCTCAGGAGCCTCTTGGGGCCTCCTGGGGCCTCCTGGGACCTCCTCGGGAGGATTCGTGCCCCAGGAGAGGTCCAATCTATAGCAACAGACGTACATAAAAACATTGCGGATTGGAGCCGCAGGAGAAGGGGGCAATCTACAGGAACACACGTAAAACACCAAGGACTCGTGCCCCAGGAGAGGCCCTATAGGAACATAAGTACACAGGAGAAGGACAATCTATATAAACATACGTATAACATCAAGGATTCGTGCTCCAGGTGAGGCCCAATCTACAGGAGCAGACGTAAAACACATCGGATTGGGGCCACTCCTGTTGCCTTCGGAGGCCTCCTGCTCTTGGGGCCTCTCGGGGCCTCCTGTTGCCTTCCGAGACCTCTTGGCGCTTCCTCTGGCCTCCTGGGGCCTCCTGTGGCTTCCTGAGGCCTCCCAGAGCTTCCTGGGGCCTCCTAGAGCCTCTTGGGACATCCTGTGGCCTCTTGAGTCTTTCTGTGGCCTCCTGATGCCTCCTGGGACCTCAAGTGGTCTCCTGGGGCCTCCTGGGGCCTGTTGGAGCCTCCTGTGGCATCCTGAGGAGAATCTGTGCCCACGAGTCTGGCCACCGATCGAGACATCCTCAAAATCTGGCCCACCTGGGGGGTGAAAATGAGCGCCTCGCTCGAGACATCCTTCAAATCTGCTCCGAAAACGAAGGATGTTGGGACAGAAAATGACCAAACCGCCTGAGACATCCCCACAAAATTCCGCGAACGGGACCCCGTGAAATACCCCCCCGCCGCCCCCCTTAGAGTGCTGAGACGAGCGAATCGCCTGAGACATCCTCCAAATCTGCTCCGAAAACGAAACATGTTGGATCAGAAAATGGCCAAACCGCCTGAGACATCCCCACAAAATTCCGCGAACGGGACCCCGTGAAATACCCCCCCGCCGCCCCCCTTAGATTGCTGAGACGAGCGAATCGCCTGAGTCTGAGTGATGACTGAGTCTGAGTGATGAGAGAGCATGAGTGAGTCTGAGTGATGAGTGAATCTGAGTGGTGAGTCTGAGTGATGAGTGGTGTGTCTGAGTGAGGACTGAGTCTGAGTGATGAGTGAGTCTTGATGAGTGAGTCTGAGTGATGAGTGTGGTGTTCTGTCCTGTTCTGTGTCCTTCCGGCGCGGTCCGCCAATAACAAGAACCCCATCTTTGGATACGGGGAAAAATCAATGATTTTTGCCTCTTGGGGCCTTCTTGGGAGTGCTCTTGGATGCCTCTTTGGGGCCGTCCTGGAGGCCTCTTGGGCCATCTTGAGGTCACGTCGGTCACTCTTGGAGCGCTCTTGTGCTGTCTTGGGGTTCTCTGGGACGTCTCCGATGATCCCCCTGATCGCCCTAGGTGTGCTGGGAAGGCTTGGCAAAACGCCCTGCGAGGCCCAGGGGGCCTCTTCGAGGCCCGTCCGGAGGGTCCCAAAGCCTCAGATCCCGGGAGTCCGGTTTTGGGGAGGGGGAGGGGTTTTCCCCCCGCCCGGGCTTGTAAAAAATAGGAAGAGGAATAAAACAAGAGCTCTCACTCGAAACATCCATTTTGAAAAGGACCGTTCTCGATCCGTGCAACTGCTACACATGTTCAAGCTTCGGATCGTTACATGTGAGGAAATCTTGAGCGAGAGCTCCACTTTGAATTATCCTGGCGAAGGACCCAACCATATGCAGTTGTGGGTACCGCAATTGTGAACATCGTCTTCGTTGAAACTCCCTATGGGGCCACGAAGCGCTGCACTGGGTGGGGGGGAACGGTGTTCTGGGTGAGTAGTGTGTCAAGTAAGGCTTCCGAGACGCATGCGGCCCGTCCCACTGGGGGCTTCGGTGGAGCTCCCTATGGGGCCACGACACGCTGTAGTGGGTAAGTGAACATGTCAAATTAGGCTTCCAGGACGCATGCGGACGGTCCCACTGGAGGCTTCGGTGGAACTCCCTCTGGGGCCATTAAACACTGTACTGGGTGGGTGAAAATGCCAAATTGGGCTTTCGGGGCGCATGCGGACGGTCCCACTGGGGGCTTCGGTGGAGCTCACTAAGGGGCCACGAAACGCTGTATTGAGTGCGTAAAAATGCCACGTTGGGTTTTCGGGACGCATGCGGACGGTGGCACTGGGGCCTTCGGTGGAGTTCCCTACTGGGCCACGAAATTCTGGACTGGGGGGGTGAAAATGCCACAATGGGTGTTTCGGGACGCTTAAGGACGGTCCCACTGGGGCCTTCGGTGGAGCTCCCTGTGGGGCCAAGAAACGCTGCACTGGGTGGGTGAAAATGCCACATTGGGTGTGCTGGACGCATGCGGACGGTGGCACTGA